CAGCTGCCTGCCTACTCCTACCAACACGCATTTTATATTTTAACCCTTTAAATGCCAATTACTATTATAATGAATATTAAATCCACCACTACACAACTTCTCCCCTCAGAGATGTCTTGCATACCCCCAGGGGTATGTGTACCACAGTTTGGGAACCCATGCTCTATAGCAAAGGTCCTGGGCTGGGTCTGGCCCAAGGACCTCCTTGTGGGGCAAACAGTGGTGATGGTGGTGGTGACAACCCAAACAGCAGTAAGTCAAACAGGGCTTTGCCACCACAGCCTTAGCTGGTCCCACTGCTGCCAACAGCCATGTGCAATAGAACCGCAGATTCTGCTTCAGGCCCCACCCCTCATTAGCTATGCCCCCAAATTTCCTGGCCTGCTAGTACTCCAGGAGATCAGATTTGGCCCGCTGGCCATACATTTTGACACTCCTGATCTAATCATACCTAGGCAATAAAAGGAAATAATATTGGGAAGATAAGAAGTGTTTAGAGACCAGTCCCAACTATTGACTATTGGTCTCTGATCAAAGACCACAGACTGGAACTGCAGAAGTGTGTGGGAAAGAAGAGTATTACCAAGATGATGTGGGGTGGGGTGGGGGAGGGAAGGGGTTGACCCTCAAGGCAGGAATTTTGTTTACACACACGCATGTGCGCATAAACAAAATTCCTATCTTAGAGTCTATATATGGAAAATGCATACATTTGTTACAATTTTCCAGGTATAGAAGCTAATAATTGGAGGTTTGCCTTCAATATATGTCCCCCTACCACTGCTACAGGAAGGAAAATAAGCCTGGGGGATCAAATAGTCCCTTTCCTCTTTGCTTCCTCTCAGCTTTTTCCCCTAGCAACTGCTTCCCCCTCTCCTTACTGTCAGACCTTGCTCTTCCTGAGCACATGAAAGTGAAGAGGAAATTTGCAAACAATAACCTTGAAATTAAACATGGCTATAGCAATTTGACTATAATACCCTTGTACTTAGTTCACCTAGAATTGATGCATTTAACCTTTTTTTGAAACTGCTGTAAGTTTTAGCACAGGCCTCTAAACATTAACACACTTTCAAGCAGCCCTTTGGCACCTACTTAAATGTAGCACAAACTATGCATGATATTAGACCAAAGCTAAAGGCTCTTGATTTATCACAGAATTTATTGGGCTAGGCCCCAGAGTCAACACCATTTTAAGCCATGGTGACCCCACAGCTCAGCACTGCTTAGTATGTGTGTGTGTATATTCCAGACACCCTCCACAAACGATCCATGTGCAAATTAGCCACCACTCATGACTGGAATTGAGTGTTCCTGCCATGAGTCTTGGGAACCTACAAAAATTTATATGGAGATGAAAGACAGGGCAACCTGAGTCATGGGCTGACAATAAGTTTATCTTTCCTTCAGATATAAGCAATTTTTAAAATGCTATTTATTGGTCACCACCCAACTACACTGGTAGCCAAGGAGAAGCAAGGAGGCAGCCACCACTTCCTCTATCCATATTTTCTTCTGAACACAAAAAGAACAATATCTGTATTTCTTAAAAAGATTTTGGGTATATTTTCCTATGATTTACTTGCTCCATAGTAATTACTAAAATATTATATAAGCAGTAGTCAATTGCCTGTCAAGAATGATGGGGGGGAGGGAGGGGAGGGTGGGCACGGACAGAGCCCTGTGCCCCATCCCGTGTCCGGGCCCTGGGGGGAGAGCAGCGGGACCGAGCCAAAACCGGAGTGAGCCTGGGCCCAACTGGGGGAAGGAGGCTTGCTCCTCCCCTTCCCCAGCTGCTGCTGTGTTGGGCTGGGCCCGCTGCTCCCCACCAACTGCCGCGGCAGGCTGGCTTCTTCCCTGGCTCGGGCCCCGTCACACTCCCCCTCCATGGCCCCTCTCCCCCGCGTCGGTTCCAAGCCCACTCCTCCAGTTCCTCCTACTGCCGCCAAGTTGGCCTGGGCCCGCTGCTCCCCCTACCACAGCAGTCCAGCTTCTCCCCACCTTTGGGCCCGGTCTTCCTCCACATCAGGCCTGGGCCCACTTCTCCCCACCTGTCACCACCGCGGTGGTGTGCCCACTATTCCCCCCACCGCCGCCACGTTGGGCCCTGCAGGTAGAGATCACAGAAGGTGGGAGGGGCGGGCCAAGGCCAGTACCACCAGCCTTATCCCCCCCACATGGCATCCTGACCCTGCTCCCCCATGCACTGCTGCCATCACCTGCAAGCTCCGATGGCCTCACTCTCCCCCGCTCCATCTTCACCACTTGCAAGAAGCAGGGCAGGGGGGGGCAAGGCCAGCTGTGCTGGCCTCACCCTCCACGGCCCTTGTGTCCCCACCATCATGGCGGCACTCCATCGGCCACCAGCTCCTGTTTGAATGTTTGTTTACACTCTGATTCACTTTTTGTCAGCCAATCAGAGCGCAAATAAAGTGTGACAGGCAGACAGGCTTAGGTTTTTATAATATTAGAATTTGGAGTAGAGGAGCAAATTTTAGGGTATACTTACTGAAGTGAGGATAACTCAGTTTTAAATTGTGAAGAGTCATCAGATGTTTGGGCAAGTTTGTTACATTTTGTTTTTAATTCATCTTCCAAAGAGTCTATTCTTTCCTTCAGGACAGAGATTGTAGCCTTTAATTCAAACCGCTCTGTTTCAAACTACAATTGAAGTAAGAAAAGAAAAAAGGACAGTTTGCCTAAAACATTAATTTCAGTGTTTTACATTGGAATATATGTAATCTAACAAGATTTTTAAAAAGGAACTTACTCAAAAACTTCTACCAAAAAATTAAGAACAAAATTCCATTCACTTACCCCATGAATAGTGTTTTCCAGTTCTGCAATATTGTGCTCAAGCGTTGATTTTTCAAGGGCAGCAGTTTCCTGTTGAATCTGAGATAAAATATCAAAGTACTTGTAACAGTTGGTAAATTTTAGATTGAAGTGATTTTAGGCTTCCACCTTAAAATTGACTAAAAACAGCAATTTGATCCTTCTGTATATATGGACATATGCCAGCTTGTTTTATTTCTAAAAGTCCTGCAAACCCAATACAGTGCTGGGAAAGCTAACTAGCTTTTTATTAAAATCTCAGTCAAAATATGCAAGGTTGATCCTCAGAAAAATATACTTTAATTTACAAATGCAGCATGTCTGACACTATAATATTGATTCCTTAGTTGCTTTTCAAATACATATGTACTTTAATGTACAGCAGGGTTAATTCTGAGGCTCATCAATATAGACTTTGTCCCTGTAAAGATATTACCTTGCTTGTTGGAACTAGAAAAAGTAACTCCACAAAAGCAATAATTCTTCTCTTCATTTTTTATAATCTTAAGTGAAAATAGATTCATAGATGTTAGGGCTGGAAGGGACCTCAGAAGATCATTGGGTCCAGCCCCAATAAATGTTTCTCTTAAAAATGTGAAAAGAACAAGTCCTGTTGAGCCAGGCTTTGTACAACTCTTGCAGACTTTAGGAGGAGAAATATTATTTTAGCTCATCTACTCTGAACTGCTGCCTACTGACCTGGCATTGCACCTGCACACAATTCAGATCTTGGGTGCAAAGATTCATAGTATTTATTTGATTAGTTGCCAAGTCCTATTTCAATAGCCTACTAAGATCTGTTCCATATGGAATAAAATGTTAGAGTTTACATAACTGTTAGAGTTTATACGACTGTAAGCTGTTTATTTTATAGTGATCAGGTATTTTAAAACATTTCCAAAAAACAACTTAACCTTGGACAGACTATACTAATGACCCACTAATGGAGTTCAGTAGTGAAGAAAACTGAAGTTGTAGGCTCCTAAGTAGTCATAATTGTATAAATAAGCAATCAATTAAAAATTCTGCTAAACATTAAGATCAGCTTAATGAACAGTATGGTGTGTTTGAAAAGCTCACCTTTAGTTTCTCTCTCAGACTGTCCTTTTCTGCCATTACTCTTCTGAAGTCAGCTAATGCAATGTCTCTTTCTTCTTTCACATGACTTTGAGAAACTAAAGTATGTTTTGATTCTCTTCTTAACCTATTTAATTCGTCCTGCGACTTTAAAAGATAACTGCTTACTAGTGGTCATAGTTTGTAACGTTATATATAATATATTAACAAAATGTTTTTAGTATTCCGATTACATTATGAGCTCTTCGCATTATTTTTCAGAAAGTGCCCAAATAACACAACATTATGGTGTTTGATTTTTCCAGTGACCTTACCCTTCACTATTTTTCTCTTCCTCATTTCCTTCCACATTCAAACATTCATTACTTCAAATATCCATTACTACTTCCTCCCCCTCACTCTCCTACTGCTATCCTTCCTGCTCCTTTTGATGCATTTAATATTTCCCTATTTCCCCTACCTTTCAGTTTCCAAATTACAAATGTAGTAAGTACAACTGATTACATTTTAGAAAGAAAAGAGCTCTAAGTTAGAAACTACTGTATTTACCTGTATGCAAGCATAAGTCTGACATCATTTGAACATGCTCCAAATTAAACCTGACCAGAAAATCTCTTAGAAAAAGTCACGTGAGAAAGGATATAGGAATCAAAGAGTAGAAGTTTTTATAGGATATTAAGTGATAGTTAGCTAGCATAAATTAGTTAAACATGCTCATTAAGGACTTACAGGATAACATATATAATTAGCAAATATGATATTTGTGTTCAAGGTAACACAGAATTTCTTCTTTTAGAATTTCTCTGAATTCATGAACTTACTGCAAAATATATCTTTTAATAAAGCAATAAAATAATATTTTAAATAAAATAAATAATTATTACTTATTTTTATATCCTATGTTCCACCCCTCCAAAAGTGAAGTAGCAAGTGTTAATCAATTACTCCAATAGCAACTAGATTAGTTCATTAATTATCTACCTGTTCATAAAGGACATTTAATTTGTCTCTTTCTGCAGTCAGTAATTTGACATTGGATTGAATGTCGATCATGTGTTTTTCAAATCTGTCCAACATAGCTTGTAGTTCATCTCTTTCCCTGGTGATTAATCTAAGATCTTCGCTCTGCCAAGTCATAAAATAATTATGAAAATTATTTTAAAATATTATCAGTAACAGATGTAGAAAGGTATATTACATATTCCCAAAAATAGTGATCACAATCTGCCTCCAATCCTGGGTGGGTCTCTATGGTTCAAAAGAATACATTCAAGAAGGAACAGTGTTTTAAAAACCTATCCGTATGCTTTGATGCCTCTTGTTTCTTTCCTCTCTGACTGGATTTTTTAACACGTTAATCAATCATTACGTAAACAGGAAAAAAGAAAAAGTATCTACTATTAGCCCAGTTACTTACTCTTCATATTGAAAATGTAGTTTTTAAGAACAGGATAAGTAATTTTCTGCTAATAATAGTCAAGATATATTTTTATAGCTTCTTGAATACTACAACAAGTTTGCTTTATTTTTTCACTGCTCTTTGATAAAGGGAAAATTACCTTTTCTGAAGACCTACGGCCAGGACTAGACCTTCGTTGTACCATCTTCTGAAGATATTCTAGCTCTTGCTTATAATAATCCCTGTCATCTTCTAGAGTCTTTATAAATGCATCTAGACGAGAAGGTGATTTGTCCCCAAGAGCTATACCATACTCTAACCTCATTTTCTCCGTTTCTAAGACAAGTTCTCGTTCTGCATGGAAAAGCAATCAAAAGAGAAATAAATTATGAATGAGACTATTTTAAAGCACACCAATCCAAATTACATTTTATTTACTTTATATGGCAAAAAAATGGGATACTCCTCTGCCTGAAGAAGGGTGTTTGGACCCAAAAGCTTGCAAAGAACAATTTTTCCAAATATTTAGTTGGTATAATAAAAGATATCACATTTACCCAAAGAACCTGGTCTGATATAGAAGTAATACATTCGGTAACACTAAAGAGCTGATAGCATACATCTACATTATCAGCTTAAAGTTTTAAAAGTTATTTCATATATAACAACAACTTGAACACTATACAATAGACTTGCCACTAATAAAAGTTTTCACCAGCAGACTGCATTTTCACAGGATTTCTTTAAATATTGGAGTTTACTATTCAAGTCAGACTTGTCTCCTTCTACACAATTGGTAAGATAAAATAGTCTAATATTAGACTAGAATGAGCTGTATCCCACTCTACAAAGACAGTAACACTATCATTTAAATTACTTTTATGTAATTCTAGTATTGGAATGCTTTCTTCTTTTTTGTTCCAACCAAAACAGAAACCTTATTTAGTGTTCTTACCAGTGAATATGTCAATATTTTAAAAGCATCTTTAAAGATGTATTTAAGGAAGAAATCAATATTTAAACATTTACTTGAAATTTCTAAGTCCTCAACTTTTTCTGCAAGCCTTTGTTTTTCTTGTTCAAGCTGGTTTAACAAAACGTCAAGATTTTGTTTTTCATCAGTTTTCCCAAAGAGTTCTTCAGCCAGTCTCTCTTTTTCTCTATGGCACAAACATAACTCCTGAAACAACAAAAGTATTACAAAAGTTAGTACACTCCTAGAGTACCATTGAAGAAAATGTAGGGAAAGCAATTTAACAATATTTAATATATTTCTGACACTTAGGTGATGTCCCTGATTACAACTCAACAGCATGAATATGTTAAAAGTTAAGGTATTATTAATTGTTTTGGTGACAATCGTTACTGTAATTCAGCACAAGATATGCTATGATACATGCTGCATTCAGAACCTTGCAGTCAGGAATGAAACGAACAAAAATCAGGTCCATTTCATTTTGTTGCCATTTAAGAAAAGAGAGCAAGCAACGGCGAGGAAAGACGCAACTAAAGCAAAAGAAGCTTTAGTGAGTCAGATCAAACAATATTTGGCAAAAATAAAATATTCATAGTATTTCATTGATATTAATTCAACTGTTTATAACAAAATGGTCCACACCTGTTAGTAGCCAACTGTAATGTTGTTCCTAAAAGCCTACTGATGCGATATGGCATGTCATCTGAAAACACGGTATGGAAAGCATCTCCAGCAAAATGTTCCTGGTGAGAGGTTATTGCTCTTAATAGGTGCTGCTGCAAATTAGGGCAGCGTGAAACAGCACCATTCCACTTCGATTTCCGTTTCAATGTTTCAACAGAACAGTGTTTCATTTCAAGTTCTGTTTCCTTTTGAAAGCAGGGTTCTGTTTCATTTCACTGAAGCTGCATCGCTGTTTTGATGCTGTTTCAACGTTTTGCCCATAGGCTATAATGGGGAAGCACAAAACTGCCTATAACTTTGTCATTTCTACCCTGATTCAAATGAAACTTGCAGGGATGGTAGCCCCTTCTGAGGGCATGAAGCCTGCCAAGTTTCCCAGAAACCTCTGCACCTATCTTCTTGAAACTGCACCTCAGGGTGCTAACAAGCAAAACAGTCACTTGCCAGCATTGGTAGCCTCCTGTCATCTGGCAGGCAGATCCAGGGACCTGCATCTCCGGGAGGGCTGCACCAGATTCCTCCCAGGGAATGCGGCCCCCGATTTGCCTGCTGGATGACAGGAGGCTGCTACTGCCGCCTGGGACTGGTGCTGGGAGCAGCCTGCACCCAGTGCCAGGAAGATTGGTGCTGCCGCCGGTCCCAGGTGACAGGAGCAGCCTCCTGTAATCTGGCAGACAGATTGGAGGCGAGCACACCTAGGAAGAGTCTGGCACAGCCCCCACAGCCCTCCTGGGGGTGTAGGCAGGTCCCTGATCTGCTTGCCAGATGACAGGAGGCTGCTGGTGCCAGCTGGAGCCAGCAGCAGCACCAGTCTTCCCAGTGCTGGGGGCAGGCTGCGCCCAGGGCCGGTCCCAGGTGGCAGGAGTAGCCTCCTGTCATCCAGCAGGCAGATCAGGGGCTCGCACCCTGGGGAGGGCTGTGGGGGCTGTGCCAGACTCCTCCCAAGGGTGTGGGCCCCTGCTCTGCCTGCCGGATCACAGGAGGCTGCTCCAGCTGCTGGGGACGGAAGGCAGCACCAATCTTCCTGGCACTGGGTGTAGGCTGTGCCAAGCACCGGTCCCAGGCAGCAGGAGCAGCCTCCCGTGATCCGGAAAGCAGATCGGGGCCCACACCCCCGGGAGGGCTGCAGGACTTTGCCAGACTCCTCCTAAGCATGCGGGCCCCCAATCTGCCTGCCAGATCATAGGAGGCTGCTCCTGCTGCCTGGGACTGGCACTGGGCGCAGCTTGCACCCAGCAGCAGGAAGATTGGCACTGCTGCTGGCCCCAGCCAGCAGCACCAGCATGCTGTCATCCAGCACACAGATTCAGGGATCGGCACCCCTGAGAGGGCTGGAGGCTATGCAAGAATTCTCCCGGGAGGCACAGCCCCTAGATCTGCACGGGATGACAAGAGACTGCTTCCGCCACTTGGGACCAGCATTGAAGCCAAGCCCGACTTCGAAATTCGAAACATTTTGAAACTTTCAAAATGGTTTGAGTGCCCTTGTTTAGTTTCAAAGCTATTTCAAAGGCTTTTGTTTCATTTTGATTTCACTGTTTTGAGCTCAAAATGCATCACAACAGTTTCAAAATGAAGCAACCCAAGAAATTTTGCACGGCCCTACTGCAAATGCACATCAACTACACTTTATTTTATCCAAACACTTTTGTACCTAGTTAATTGCTACTTGGTACATATATTTCTATTATGACACACACAATATCTGTTAAATCAAATACTGTATTTCATACATGGCATTTAACGGTAACATTATTTACTATACCGGACAAATGAAGCTGAAAGCCAATATTAATTTTCCTTTTATTGGAGTCAATCCAATATGCACCCAATATATCAGTGAACCTCTAGTAACAGGCAACCAAACAACAACTAAATTTACAAGTTTTCTATACAAATGACAGAAGCCAAAAAAAAAAAGATGGATGAACTAGAATGCCTGGTATTTAGTGGTGTCTTTCACATAATAGGTATGTCAGAGACCTGGTGGAAGGATGACAATCTATGGAATACTGAGTTACAAATGATATAAGAATGACAGAGTAGGATACACAGATGGAGGACTGGTACTGTACACTATGATAGTATAGAGAGCAACAACATAAAAAAATATCTGGAAGGGAAACTACCACAAAATCCCTGTTGGGTAGATATTCCTTGAACAAAAGGAACATAGTATTAGGATTGTACTACTGAATATCTGAGCATGAGTATGAGGGGCTTATAAAATGCTTAGGACGGTGATCCTCAACTAGGTTATCATAGCTGTGAGATTCTATTAAAGAGTGCATGAGGAAGTAAAAGCTCTTCTCTCCATTCTGGTTCCCTGCATGTGCCACAGCTACTCAGTGGTAACTGCAGCTGCTGTTCTGGGGACTGCCATTCCTGCTGCCTTTCCCCACTGTCCTTCTGGCCCCATCAGAGTCTCCGTTCCAGCTGCTCCCATGTTCCCAGCAACAAGCTTTGCTGCAGGCAGGTGGAGAGACCTAAGTGGGGTCAAAGCAGCATTTTGCAGTGCAGTTCATCCCTTCTGCTCCTCCCATGACCCCAGGAATACCATGAAGTACCACGGGGTGGTTACTCGCATATGAGACCCTGCAGGAGCAGACTTGGCAGCAGGGACTAGCCTTGCCCTCTCAATTACACACCGGGGCAGGGAAGGGGCAGAAAGTGTAAACGGAAATGCCTGTCCCCCAACCTGCCTCACCTGGAGCAGTAACTCATAACCTTTTATAGCCTCAAGTTACCACTTCATATCGTTCCTGAATTTAGATTGTAGCTCAGTGTAACTGGAGTTCTTTGAGGGTGTTAACAAGTACATGGACAAGGGGAATACAGTTGACATAATATATATGAATTTTCAAAGACTTTTCAGAAAGTCCCAAACTAAGGAGTTGCTACGGGATTAGAGGAAAGGTTCCTTTGTGGACTGAGAGCTAGTTAAAAGATAGAAAGCAAAGGCTAGGCCTAAATGGCCACTAGTCAGGATGGACAGAGGTCAGAAGTGAGGTCCCTTAGGAATGTGCGTTAGGCTCAATTTTGTTCAACATTTTTCATTGATGACCTGGAAACAGAGGTGTACAGTAAATGTCAAAGTTTGCAGACGATACTAAATTATTCCAGCTAGTCAAATCCCAAGCTGACAGAGAGAAGATGCAGAAAGATCTCATCAACCTAAATGAGTGGGCAAAAAAAGGGCAGATGAACTGCAATGTTAACAAGAACTTGAGTTGTGTGTACAAAATGCTGGGTTTTGACCTAGGTGTTACAACTCAGGAAAGAGCCCTTGGCATCACTACAGACAGTTCTCTAAAAACATCAGCTTAATGTGCAGTGGCAAACAAAAGAGCTAATAAAATATTAGCATCATTAAGAAGGAAATTTAAAACAAAATGGTGCTCCCACATCTTGAATACTGTGTGCAGCTTTGATTTTCATTTGTCAAAAAAGATACAGTAGAATTACAAAAGGTACAGAGAGGAGAACCACGTGATCAAGGGTATACAGCAGCTGCCATACCAGGGGAGAGAAAGTGCTTCTTTAAGCAGCACATAGTTAACTTGTGGAACTAATTATCACAGGATGTTGGTGAGGCAGATAGCATAGCCAGGTTCAAAAGGGATGAGAAAATTCAAGGATGATATATTCATTAACAGGTATTAAATAGAACAGTCAGGGATGTATCTTCTGGCATCTCAAAACCAGCAATGAAGGACGCCAAGAAGGGTAATGAACAAGGGATAGATTACTCTAGATACACCCTGTTCAGTGCTCTCCCTCTAAAGCAGTGAGTCTCAACCAGTGTGTCAGGGCACCCTGTGGTGCCACCAGGTCATTTGAAAGGTACTGGGAGTTACGAGGAGGTAAGCAGATAAGCAAGGCTCAGACTTGTTCCTGACCCTAGTGCCTAGCCTTGTATAAGGAGGTAAGCTCTGTAATATATAAATTTGTTTGTGAAATTGGGTGTCACTCAATTCACAAAATTATGGAGGGGTGCCTCAAGTCCAAAAAGGCTGAGAACCAGTTCTCTAAAGCATCCACTACTGCCAATGCTGGAGACAGATAAAATGCACCACTGATCTGACCTAGTATGTCACTTCTCTTGTTCTCACATTCTACTTACCGACTTAAGTCTTGTTACTGTTTCCTCAAGGTCTTGAATCTCATTGTGTTTTCTTTTAATCTCTTTCTATTGAAGTTAAAATGTATGTTAAGTCATGCAAACATTAGAAATTATTGCAATTTCTTACACACACAAAAAAACTGATACTATATACAAAATACTTTTGAAAGACATGTGCAGCTTGCTTATTTCTATTTTGCTAAAATCTAAGTATGCATACATAGCCAATATAATACTAAGTCAATCAAACAGAACACCTAAGATTTTTCCAGTCAATGATTACATTGAGATCTTAAATTCTGTTATTTATTCAATAAAGTCCAGAAATAATGAAAATGTATAGAATAGAATTTGCTGCACGCGCACGCGCACACACACACACACACACACACACTTCTATTAAAATGTAAAGCAGTAGAAAGACTTATTGCACAATTCCTCAGAAAATCCCTCTAAATAAAATTGTTGTTACAAAGAACTTGGTCTCTCAAGTTGGTTTTGGTAGTTTTCCTAAAAGCTCATTACTCCTTAAATAATTAACTTGACTAAAATAGAAAAATGGAACCCTCCCCCTGAGCAACATTGCTTTGATTAGTAAGGTTGCTGATTTATCCTGTTCATTCTGAATGGAATCCTACATAGCACCAACAATATACCTACATAAAGTTTTTATGGTGTTAAACATACCATCCCATAATATTTTGTTTGTTACAGTTCCTCACAGTTCATTCAGGGCAGTGACCTGTCATTAAGGAATTCCTTACAACAATGAAGTAATTCTGAAAAATGCTTCTTAGGCTGTCCCTACATGTTAACAAGTATCGTGCAATTGCCTGGTTAACTACCTAATTACCTTGAAACTAGCTACATGTGCAAAGTATTTAACAATTAAAAGCTCCAACCAGTTATAAAGTTATACCTAAAAAACAGTATACTAACCTTACAGCTGGTTGCTATCAAGCTTTAATTTGCACATACAGCAGGGTCCCCCTTCAGTTGGGAGCCCAGTCAGCTCTAGGCTCCCAACCACAGAGGTACACTTTGCCCAGCCAGGGCTGTGAGCCCTCAGGAGCTGCCAGGACCCAGAGCCCCGCAGCTGTAGAGTCCCTGCAGCATACCTTCTCTGAAGGTGAGTGAAAACCCGGGGCAGGAAGATCACCACTGAAGGCTCGTTGCACCTTTACCTGAACCTTGATGGGGCCTTAGTAAAAGAAGGCAGAGCTAGCCTACTGAAGCCAACATAAATAACTTCAGCAAGAGTTTATCAGGTTTTAAATGATTTGCCCGCATTATAGTATTTGCTTACCTTAGCTTCCTCAATTTCCTTATCTGCCGTCTCAAGCACAATTTCTTTATGTCTTTCCAACTGCTGTGCCAAATGATCTATTTCACTAAGTTCTTGACATAGTTCTTCATTTTTATTGCTTAAATGAACAACTTCACTAGTCACATTTTGTTTGGTGTCCAAAAGATCTTGTATGCGATTTTCAAGTTCTCTATTTGTTTGCTGAAGATATTCAACCTAAGATGTTTTTATAATTTAAAATTCTAATTAAAACCCCATTAAACAGAATTGTCACATTCTAATGAAAAAAAAATAGCACCTCTAGTACTTCTGAAACACTGTACATGCTTTTTTTTATTCATTAAGGCAGACAAGGTTCTTTGGGTGAGTCTGATATCTTTTATTAGACCAACTTAAATAGTTGGAAAATAATTATTAAGCAAGCTTTTGGGTTCAAAAACCCTTCATCAGGCTAAGGAAGTTTCTGCAGTTGGTGTGTGCTCTTCCTGGATGGAATGAAAAGTAAAGAAGCCAGAGGCTGGTCTGGTATGCATACAAGACAGGTAGTCAGTGAAAACGTAGACTGAGGAGTTAATGGGTGACAGACAGGTTGGGAGGTGGGGGGAAGAGAGAGAGAGAGAAAGGGGGATAAATAGTGGAGAGATACCTGGGGAGTCAGCTGTCAGGCAGGTATAATGTGTCATAAATCTAATGTCTGTATTTAGTCCATGATTTTTAGTATCCAGGAGGTTGATGAAGTGGAGTTCATAAGCTTGTCTCTGGGAAGTGTTTTGTTAAGTTTCCTTTGAAGATCAGGACAGAGATTGGCGAGAGAGTGGTTTTCTTCTGAGTAATGTGCCCCCACAGGTAACTGGGTATTCCTGTCTTTGATAGATTTCCTGTGTGCATTCATTCTGGTGTGCAGTTGTTGTTTGGTGTTTCCTACGTATTTTCCATCATGGCATTTGGTGCATTGGATGAGATACATTACATTTCTGGAGGTGCAGCTGTAAGATCCCAGATTGCTGATGGCTCTGTTGTGGGGTGTAGTGATTGTGGGGGTGGTGAAGATGTGTTGGCAGGTTTTCCATTTCTTGGCATGGCATGGTCTGGATCCATTTGGTGTGTTCTGGGCTTGAGGAAGTTTGCTTCTGGTGATGAGGTTA